AGAGAGAGAGAGAGAGAGAGAGAGAGAGAGAGAGAGAGAGAGAGAGAGAGAGAGAGAGAACCCTGCATACCCCACCGCAACTCTCCTCTCCCCACTCCTCACGTCCCAGAGCTCCTGCAACAAGAAGTGTGTGTTTCCCTTTAAGAAGCCCCCACCTCCTTCGCAACAGAGGGAGGAGGAGCAGGCCAGCGGAACAGCCACTGAGAAGGGGAAAAAAAATTCAACAGTGGACGGTTTCAAGTCCCCCCAGTAGAAACTGTGCCTGATTTGTGGCTAATGTTGGAGATGTAAAAAAAAAGAAAGAAAAAAAGAAAGAGAGGAAGGGAGGGAGGGAGAGGAGAAAGAAGGAGGAGGAGGGAGGAGGATGAGGAGGAGGGGGAGGAGAAGGGGGGAGGAAAAACACTAAAGGGGTAGCTATGGAGATGGAGCGTTTTCCTGGCTGCTTTCTTTGACAGGTGTTGAGTGGGGCAAAAGTCTTAAAACAGAATCCAGCATGTACGCCAAAGGTAAAGGAGCTGTCGTCCCTTCTGATAGCCAAGCGAGAGAAAAGTAAGTGAATTGTGTCTCTTATTGTGAAGAGTTTACCTTGCTTATCATGCGCGCGAGAGCGGAGCAGGGCAGGGAAGTCCAACTTTCTAAACTAGGTTCTGTAATATACCGGGAGTGCGCGCAGTGCCAAAATGCGCTCCGCTCCATGTCCAAGCCGCGGCACCGGCGCGTAGCTTAAACTTTTCTCTTCTTTCACAGCACGAACTTGGGCTCACTATTTTTTCTCCGTTTAAAACATCCATGTACATCCGCAAGTTCCTGCAGAGCTGCATGTCAATTTTAGTTCAACTTCTGCGGCGGTAAAAGTTGAAACATCACATTTTCAGGTGATGCGCGCGTGTTCGCCGGATGCGCTTAGATCAGACTGTGAACAGGAAAGTTTCAGAGCTGAAGCCGCAGGATGATGCTCCATGTGTCACATTTATATATGTTTTAGAGCTGATTCTTCTTCTTCTTCTTCTTCTTCTTCTTCTTCTTCTTCTTCTTCTTCTTCTTCTTCTTCTTCTTCTTCTTCTTCTTCTTCTTCTTCTTTCACCCGTGCGTTTTATTTTGGTGCGTAAAAGAGCTGCTCGGTCGGGGCTGCACGTGAGAAGGAAAAGTTTCAGCAGACACACTTAAACTTTTGCACGCTCATCAGATAGAGTCGAAGATGCTTAAAACATTAACGAAGCAGGAAATGATCGATAACGTCCACTTATACAGGAGATTTCTCATCCCTCTGTGCGTAAAAACTGGTATTTACGCGCAAAACTAAACATGCTCATCTTTTTATGTCCCATTTTGGTTCAAACAAAAGTAAGTTTTAAGTGTCAAAATGAGGGATACTACTACGTTATAAATAAACATTACTTCATTGGCGCGTTCAAAGACTTCTTTAAATCCCAACACATTTGGATACATTTTATCGTCAGACAGATCCGGTGTTTTTACGCGCGGATCAGCCTGAGTTGAGTGGAGGGAGCGGGGCTCCCTCCGGAGCTGCGACTGGAATCCCTGAAACAATGCCAGGTCCTGAGAGGCTGCGCTGCTCCGCCGCACCTCACACATCTGGAACACAAACATCATTTCTTCAGGGACTCCTTTTGAGTTATTTTCATGTGCCTTCGTGTCATAGTCAATTGATTACACCTTCCAGACACGTGCTTACTGCGCCTCTGTCCACATCTGGGGCTGTAGGAGCAGCTTGATTTCACTCTGGATCATTTTGTAAGAGAATTGAGTGTGTGTGTGTGTGTGTGTGTGTGTGTGTGTGTGTGTGTGTGTGTGTGTGTGTGTGTGTGT